GTTATCTGGTAAAGAAGACTAATACATTCTCATCCCTAAATAGACCTTTGGGCTTTGATCTGTGTTTCCATGAAAAATTAATGAATAATTAATGTCCTAAGCAGTATTTGTTCTGTAAATAATAAGTCCTATGAGATTGTATAAAATTTCAAAATTAGCTATTGATACTGGATTTAAATTATTGTGCACATACAATGCAAGCAGTTGAATTAAGGGATGTTTTAATGAACAAGAAGATGGTAGCAGGATGAAGAACTGGGCTGCTATTGCTGCTCAATCAATAATTTCTACACTACAAAAGTGTAAAATATCTTTTTGATTAAATGGCTGAAGACTCTTGAATACCCTATTTAATGGTAATAGTAATATTAACCATTTCCTTATGTGGAAACATTCATCATTCATTGACTGAACAGCCAACGCTATTGCTGACTGGAATTTATGAAATTTTTCTATTAAGACAATTTTTTTAGTAAAATAGGTTTTTCAAATCCATTAACTGTTATCACTCTTTCCAGTACTGATGAGGTTTTCCTTCTTAACTGTTTGAATTAGTGTAGAACAACATCTTCATTATGTCATTATTTTCTTTTCATATGTTTTCCATTTTAATTGTTACTGCATTTGAAAATCCTCAAGTGATGTGGTTTCTACTATCTAAAGTGTACAAGATCAAATGAAGGCCAATTTTCTTCAAGGACCACAGGTTTCATTCACTTGAATACATTTTTAATCATTGATCTAAGAAAACCGTTGTATATAGCTGATAATTTAAACATCTCTAAATGAGTTGGACATCATGCATGGTATTCATATGAGAGATCGTATCTGACAAGGCTATTGTTGCTGACCCCTTGGATCTGACAAGGCTCTTTAAGAACACGACTTGAGGTTTTAGGCTAATGATATGCTTTTATAGCATCTTGTGATGTTGAATAAAACTACCCTAGTAAGAACTTATTCTGTGTTCATTTTCTTTATCTCCTTTACTAAATTAACTATAACTGATCCATATACTGAGGTACTTGAAATGTTTAGTATTTTATTCTATTTTATTCCATATTCTGATTTTTTCTGATGGATTGCTTTCATTCCAATTTCAGATCATAGTTTCCATTTTGGAAAAGTTTATCTGGAGTCCTACTTTTTGGAACACTTGGTATTATGTTGATTTTTGTTCAAGATCATTCTTATCTCACCTATGAATATCTATGTCATAAGCATGGCTCCTCCTCCTCCTCATCATCATCATCATCAATACACTGGCCTCATGAGGGAAAATAAGAATGTGAAAAATGGAGGTTTGACCAAAACCAGATTAGTTGTGGCTTTCCTAATCAAAAGAAAGCCCAACTCTTAACAAGTGATATGGAAATAGTTGTTAGTAGAAAACACTGCAACTAGACTGATCAGCTGTTTGACAGAGTGAAAAAGTGATCATTTTTTTGTTGGTATGTGGCTGGGTTGTCAATGAATTTGCCTCAGTGTTGCAAGCAAAAAAGACTAAATCATTCAAGAATTAGGAAATGTCTACAATCTGACTAGAAAGCATCTTTGTCATTATATGAAAGTTATAAAAGTAAAAATTTATTCTATTCTAAAATATTAGTTCATTTCAAAAGTAATTTTTAAAAGTCAATTTCCATTATTCTTTTTCTTATAGTACATTCTATCACCGCCAATCAAACCCTGAACTACTGCTAGTCATGATGAACAGATGTCCCCTCAAGGAGGCCCCATTCCTATTTTCTGCCCTCCAACCTCTCTCTCACAGGCAGGATGTGGTGAACCTTTCACTGCTCTATCGCTACTACCATGGAAAGTGCTTGGACAAATTACATCTCCTGGTTTCTCCCGGTCTGACCTTCATGGTTAGGACCCACCATACCACTTAATAGTAGCAAACCACCCACATTCTCTCTGTATTCCATCAGCAAGAAGTAAGTTCCACTCAAACAGCTTCTTCTTCAACTTTGACACAAGAACTGAGTAAAACTACCAGTCACTTATAATGTTTGTTTTCATAGTCACATCTATCTATATTTATAAATAAATATATCTGGATAAAGTGAAAAAGTAATAATAATAATCTATAATGTAAAAATATAATGTTTTTTCCAGACATCTAAATGTTAAGAAAGGAGTACAAAAAAGTTCTCTTCTTTACCTGCTTAGGTTAAATCTGACCAAATGACCCAAAATCAGAATCTTGAGGAGAATCCTTTGTTTTTCACCAATCCTTTTATATTCATAATGCAATACAGAAATTAAATTATAACTAATGAGTGAAGACTCAACATGATTTTGAATAGATAGGACGAAAACTTGGCAAGTCTTTAGAAAAACATTAAGAACTTTGACTAGAAACAACACATGGCATGGAAACAACATACAATTGAATTTTTGTTTATGTTATGATATGGACAAAGTTTTTAGAACATTAATGTTTAAAAACTAAGACCAATGTTCAAATCTCACTATGGTCGATTTCTCAAGCAGGCAATTTCTTGATAATACCAGCCTAGAAAGATAATCTCAATGTGCAATGCTGTTGGGAAGTGCCTTAAAATCAAATCATAGGTTAACCTGAGTTTTGTAAGTGAAATTGCGGAGATGGAACTGTCATGAATCCATCAATGGTCGTGCTAGCTGAGGGTTTGAGTGTACCAGCCCTGTTCAAAGTTGCTGATCATATTAGATTTTGTGCATTATTTATAAAAATATATGTCAGGTTACAGAACACATACAAAAAATACAAAAAGGTATGAAAAATAGGAATAAAACAAATTATTAATGTATATTTTTGTGGGTCAGTTAAAAGAGATTGGGGAGAATGAAGATCAAGTGACAACAAGGCACACCATAAAAGAATGATAAGAGATACTCAATGAGATATAAAACCCAAATCATTTTATTAAAATAAAATAAATACAAATTTTATTAAATATTAGGGGTGCACACATTTGGTGGTCTGTACACCCAGAAAAGACATTAATAAATTCCTGGACAAATAACTTATTTTTTCTAAAATAAGGCTCAATGATAGTTGTGGAAAGAAAATCGAGTTTATAATCAAAATCAATCAAATAACATGAAATATCACAAGAAAAATGTCAGTGTATAAAACAATGCAAATTACAAGGAAAAAGTACAAAAAGGATTTCAGTTAGGTCGAACCAAGTGAAAAGGGTATATTTATCTTGAAGGTATAAAATGTGAATGTTCTTAACAGTATGTGTGATTTGATGTGAGTTATCAAAGTTCATGACAGAATCTGTTCGTGCCTTCTGCGAGCATTGTAACAAGACTTAATTCTGTCTTGAAAAAGAATTGGTTGTCAAGATTTTGTTGATGAGAGATTTTGCAACTGCTTCTTTGAGTCCATGTGCCGTAAGGTGTTCAGATGTTTTTAGAAGGCATTATGTCTCCCACTGCCTGGCGTTGCCTCTCCTACTCACCTTGATGTTTGTATTGCAGGGATTTTTATAGCCAAAGTTTGGCTTCAATTTATCCAAAAAATTTGGGCAGTCAGCACATGCATTTCAAATTTCAAATGGCTAGAGTAGCCATTGGTTAAAAAATCACATTTATCAAAACAATTTATTGTAGTAGAAAAAACACTTCTGTTTTTCTTTCTCTTTCCTTCAATTGACCCCCCCCCTCCTTGGTCAAGGAGCTTTGCATGCAGGGTGGCAAAGTTCAGGTTTCAGTAATTATTTTATTACTTTCATCATTTTCTCCTAAACTACTGAGAGCTGAAATTTACTATAGAATAATTTTGAACATTCTCCTCTCATAAGGAAGTTCATTAAACTTATATTAAAATTTCAATGCAAGATACAAAGAATTTATGAACAAAATTAACCATTAATAAAATTTAATGTTGGTTAAATATAGTTTTTGTTTTAAATGTTCTGATAGTGTTTATTATTAACAGAGAATATGTGTAACTAGAAAGGTACTGATAACAGAATTGAAGAAAATTTTTTTTCTTTAAAACCTTTTAACAATTATATTGCATCAGCAATTATTATATTTTGAATATTTTTAAAGTTAGAAATTTCATTTCACATTAGATTTATTTAGTTTATTTTTTTCCCTAATGTTCACTCAATACAAGTGGCCCAAGTGCCACTCAAGGTAAAGGCTTATTGTGTGGACATATATTAGTGTAGGAAAGAACAAGCATTAGGAGTATAGAGCTGAAGCAGATTTTATAAGGAATCAGAAACCCAATCCTAAACAGGAAACAAGGAATAAACCTATACACCTGTTTAAAAGAACAGGGAGAAGTGTGAACAGGATGATAGGCAAAACTATCTACTCCTATTGGTGAACCTAGACTTGAAGAGATTAAGAGTACAGTGATAATGGAAACATCCTCTTAGCTTCTGGAGAAGAAGATGTCTGAGTGGAACTTCCATACCAATGGAATATGAAAAGAATGAAGGTAAATTAACTCTGTGTACATGGCCCAGCAATGTGGAACCAAAGTTTTTAATTCATTTGAACATCTGCTATGAAGATAGCAATAGAGTAACAAGAGGTTAGCAATGTTTTATCTGTGAGAAAGGGGTTGTAGAGTCGAAAATAATTCATCACCCACAAGGCTACCCAAATACTGTTGAACTCTGCTGAAGCTGGGAAGTGAGGCGCTCCAGTTCTTTTGATCTGACCTGGCTCTCCTAAAGCTAGAGAATGCCAGGAGAAGTCTGGTACTTTTTTTGGGCAGTACAAAATGGTTGTGGTTGATAATGAATTACTGTGTGAAAGGTGCTGAGGCTTGAGTAAATCTTATCACAAATATTGAGAGAGTAAATGCCTGTGGGGTCTATTATAATTTTTTTTTTGCTTGTTTCTTTACATTCATATGATAAATAAAAGACCAAATGATGCAAATGACAATAAAAGTTCTTGATTAAAAAGAAATTATAAACAGTAATGATGAGAGAAAAATATATATGTAAATTAATATTTACATTAAGTAAAGTAAGTGTTTACAGCCATATAGCGCTAAAACGCTGGTTCCCGTACGATACCTGAAGTTAAGCAACATTGAGCCTGGCCAGTACCTAGATGGGTGAACGCTTGATAATGCCAGGTATTGTAAGCTTGGATGTTTGGGTAGTGTAAAGGGTTTAAGGCCATATCACATTTAAACACCGTTTCTCGTATGAACACCGCAGTTAAGCAACATTGAGCCTGGTCAGTACATAGATGGGTGACTGCTTGAAGTCTTGTATGTACAGAATAATGGCTTGGAATTGTTAATCCTAGTGCTGATTTCCGATTTCAGTTGGGTCCGTAATATTCACTTACACGTAATACCCTTAGGAAAGGTATGAATCCACCTCTTCTCTCCTCAGCTATGGATTAGTCAGCAAGGCCTGCATAATTAAATCGTTATTATCTAAAAAAAAAAATTACAATCTAAAAATACTTTCTGGCCCTAAACAATCTGCAACATGTTGATAAGCTGCAGAAAAAAAAATCAAGTAAATTACGGTATTTGCCGGACGTGGATTTACATTCACCCCCCCCCCCCCCCTGAAAAAATGCACCAAAAAATTACCCTGCTTCCACTACAACAGTATCGTGTATTATAGGGACATGAATACAACGAAAAAGTGGGGTTCACCAGGAATCAGTGTAGCTCTGAAATTAGGACTCCTGAAAGTGAACAAACATATCAAGAAAAAATATCCCTGATAAATTTACCCAGGAAAATTAAATTAAGAAATTTATAGAATTGCACAATATTTTGCTGCTGATTTTGTAGAAATACCAAATTTTAAAGAAATATTTGCTTTGACTGGTATATTGCTGTGTGTGTGTGTGTGTGTTTTTGTTGATATGCAGGTACTGGAATTTGCTTTTCTGCATGTATGGTATGGGACTTCATTTACCAACAAGTGCCATATTTCTGCTTATTTTTTTATTTTTTTGCCTATTATCATATTTAACCTTACCTCATTTCTATTTAAGAAAGTACCAGTAGTATAATTTGTACTAATACTGTTAAGTGTTTCATCATGGTTAGTGGGAATGTCCCATAAAGGCAAGGTTATAATTATTTCATTTTTTTTTTTGTGTGTGTGTGTGTGTGTGTGTGTGTGTGTGTGTGTGTGTGTGTGTGTGTGTGTGTGTGTGTGTGTGTGTGTGTGTGTTTTTCCCTGAATATTCCATGCCATGGGTGCGTCCAATGCGTTTCTTGTATGAACACCGAAGTTAAGCAACGTCGAACCTGGTCAGTACCTAGATGGGTGACCGCTTGAGCACACTAAGTGCTGTAAACTTAGATGTTCGACTTAGAATTGTTAAATAGAGTACCAAGTTCTGATTTCAGTTGGGTTTGTTATATTTCTGTGGTTATCTAGCGGTTAATGATATTATGTCTCGACTGACTCAAACGAAACTCTCTGAGTTTTTTATTTAGTTCATTTGTGTTACCCACATTTTGAGATTTTTTTTTATTAGTAAATATTTTATTTTATTTCTTAGTATTCACCCCTCCTCTTTCTGGCGAGTTCGCTAACACACTGAACTTTGTATTTCTTTCGTTCTGGGTCAACCTCTGGTTTTTCCGTATGTTTCCTTTTGCTGATAATCATACTTGTACGTTTAACAAATTCTTGAGGTGTTGGTACATCAAAAATATCATACAGTACTAACATAGCTTCTTACTTTATTGGGAGCCTTTCTTCAGTAAACCTTTTCTTTAACTGATTCCAATACCTTTTGTGTTCCTATTTTTTTCTTTTTACTATAAATATAATTTTTTCCAATCTGTGATATTATGCCATCTTTCCAGATGTCTTTTCCATTTTTATATACTCTGAAAAACACTTCTTCGCCAATTTAAAAAAAAAATGTCTTTTTTTGTTGTTATCCGTTCTTATTCTTTTTTGAACTTGTCGAATGCCAATTTAATTTTTCTTGCGAACATCAATTCTGCCGGTGACATATCTGCCGGTGTATTGGGATTCAGCGTTATCCGGTATATTCTCAAGAATTTTTTTAGTGCTTCTTCGCTCACTTTTTCATTACTTGATTTTTTCAAACCTCTCTTAAAAGTACCCCAAAAGCGTTCAGTTTGTCCTCTTGACCTTGATACAGTGGGGTAGTAATATGTTCAATCGAGTTCTTTAACTTCATAATTAGTAAATTGTGTAGTTATCCGATACTATGCCATATCTTGCAGTTTGTGTAAAAAAATACTGTAACCGTGGAAGTTTTTTTTTTTTTTTTTTTTTTTTGGATTTACAAATTTCAGGCCATTTAGTAAAGCTGTCCACTACCACAAGATAATTTGGTCCATTTATTGGACCTGCGAAATCCATGTACAGTCTTGACCATGGAGTATCTGTCTTTGGCCAAGGTTGTAATTTTGTGGTAGGTAATTTTACTAACCTCTGCAGGCTTTTACTAATTTTTCAATGTTTTGATCCATTTTAGTCCAGTATATATAGCTTCTCATAATAGATCCCATTCTTGAAATTTCTGAATGACCATTATGAAATTCATTTAATATCCGCTTTTGTAATATGATAGGTATTACTACTCTTTGTTACAAATCTGGATTGCGTTCTAAAAATTCTATCATTCTTACTTTCTTTTAGTCGTTTTTTTTTAATTTTCGAAATAAACATGTCTTGTTCTGCTTTTACTTTTATTTCTTCCAGAGTACCGAATATGTTTGTAGTATTTTTAAGACATAAGTTTCAGCTTTTACACGCGTTACAAAATGAAACATTGCAGGTCATTTCGCCAATAAAAAAAATAATGTCTTACCCGATACGTATGCGATTTTCGAAGTTCTTTTTAATATAATATTTTCGTTTGCTTTCCATGTGGCTTCGTTGATTATTGATTAATGTCTGGTTTCATTTTTGCATCCACATTATTCATTTTCACATACACAAATTTTCCTTAGTTTTCTGTAATTAAAAAAATAATTGCAACGCAACGCTGTTGCAACGCTGTGTGAATCTTTTTCTATGAAACTTTTCTTTGCTTTAGTTTTACGGTGTGACTTTTTGTTCCACACTTGTAGCACTTTGAATTCTTAAAGGAACGGTCGTCTCCAGGATCTAACCTTCCACGTCTGAAACATGAATTAATTTTTCTTTTTCCACATTTTTCTTTAGCTTGTATGTATACGCATTCTTTTCTGAAAATTTTCTAGTATCTTCTAAAATAAGCAGAAAAGGTAATTCCATGATCTGAATTGTATGTGATTTTAGCGTCATTTTTAAGTGAAGTTTTGTTGAAATCGGTTGAAAAATGTAGGAAATCCGATCCCATATATAAACGAACACACAGACACACAAACAACCTGGGTTTTATAATAAGTATAACTCGATATGAGTTGTCCCCCTTTCATTCTCGTGATGCCTCTTAATCGTGTTTCAAATTGATTTCGTGAAAAAAACAATTGTGTTTTTCCAATTTTGGGTGCTGTTAGAACCACCGCAAGGTAATTTTACGTAGTCCTGTGAAGTTTTGTTGAAATCGGTTGAAAAATGTAGGAAATCCGATCCAATATATAAACGTACACACACACACACACACACACACACAAAATCTGCGTTTTATAATAAGTAAGATATTTACGAAATATCTGGAACTAAATTCCTTAATATCGTGACAATACTTCAATCTGTTTCTAGCAAATATGTTTTAGGTTTTGACATTCTCTGATAACATCCAATGCAAAAGGACTTGAGCATCTACTACGATGAAAAACTCCTTTATACATATATGGGAAAGGATTCGGGGGATTTTATTCAAGCATTTGATAGCCAAAAACACTGATAGTAATTCCAGGGTAGATAAGGTTTGGGGCTTTATAGGAGCTATTTTGGCCTTAGAAAAAATTAAAGAGAAGTTTCTATTCTGAACCACATAGACAGAAAACCCGTCAACCCTTTTAGAGTCATTACAAAAAATATATAGTGTAGCAAGCTGATCTTCGTCAACTGCCCGCCTGGGAAATGACAGAGAAGAAACCTGGACTAAGTCTTTGTAGAGGTTAAGCAACTTAGGAGTCTACAGATATGACAACCCAAAACAATTGCTGCTTCCAGATTTCTCCCATAAGTATTCTTCCCCTTATAGTAACGGGTAAGCACAACGACAAAGGATCAAATACACTGGATACATGTGACAGTACCTTTCTTCTAATGCTGGCTTATGCGTTAACATATGACACTCTTAAGAAGGCACGGGTAAATTGGGAAAAAGACTTTCAAATAAACTGGAAAACAAGAAAGAAAGACTGTAGCCGTCACGCCAAAAAGGACCCGCTGGAACAGGGCAGTCGTCTCTCGTACAGACCAGTCGTCCTCGTCGGCTCCCTCGGCCCCAACGATATTTATTGTACGTAAATTGTACAAATACGGCACAAGGCCAAAAGGGGGAATGGGGAAAAGGATGGTCATCATCTGTCTTAAGATTGAACTTAGCTAGTCACAATCACTGACCCAGACATACAAACAATATTCCTTTCACCAAAACAACGCATTCCTACTTGCCATTCTTACCTCAACCATCATAATACCTCAGAAACTCTATGAAATCCTAAACTAGTCCTCATATTTACCAATTCATTGTCTGTGGGGGGGGGGATAACAATTTAAAAATCTAAAAACCCCAATGATTATTTACATATGTGTACAAACTATATACAAGAAACTAAACAAAAATTTTGTTAGTAGTAACCCCCCCAAACTGTGGACGAAATCAATGCGGGACTTTAAAAAATATAAAACATTCGTACAAGCCATGCACTCACTACAAACACTGACTCATTCAAACAATAACAAATATGAAAAACACACTCGAAACGAAAGGTGCCACGAACTGATATCACTAACCACCTAACGATGGGAGGGATGGGGAATTCAATAAAAGAAAAAAACAAGAAATAAAAGGGGGCCAATGAGCATACATACACTAGCTAAGTTAACACTGAAAAAGGAGAAAAGGCTAAAACTAAAACCGACCTAAACTAACCTACACACAGGAAGGGTTGCAAATGTTCAACCCAGCAATCCCAAAATTCTTAATGCCTAACCGGCATCAAAATGCCACTCCAAGTCAGCACCTTTCACTCTGCAGAGACGTGCAAGACTCATCCATCTTTCGCCAAATTCCAATGGATGGAGTCGTTTCATTTCCGTCCTGATCTTGACTTTAAGCTGATGCTTAAAGAACACGATCAATTGGGAAGAGG